CTTCCCTAACGAGGTGACACTCCTTGACAGACACGTTCCAGGTACTTTCTCCACGGCCGGGGACATCCCACAGAATCCCTGTCCCGATCTGACTTGTGATGGTCACGAATCTCAGGTGCTTTAACTTGCCCTGTAGTCATCGGCTGGGGCAGCACCGCTTCCTACTTCCCCGAGACATTCCCTACGAGGGCAGGTGCCTGTCATGTCCGCCCACAGCCAGGACGCCAGGGCCCCCTGAGCTCTGCACTCACGGAACTTTAAACTGCCACACCAGCACCTCTGCCAAAAGAACGAGCGTTGAGAGAAGTGGAATCTAACCGAGCACTGCAGCCCATGGGAGGGAATGCCACTAGGCCAGTCTAGCGTGTGCTCGCACTTGCAGACGAGCCCCGGGGCTCGTTTCTGGCACCCCCGCCATGGGGCTGCTGAGACTTCACACTGGGGGATACTCACCCGCATCCAGGCTGCCGGTGGCCGCCGTCCAGCCCATGACCGGCGGGATGGCCCCCACCACGGCTCCCACCCAGGTGTTAGCGATGCTGAGCCTCTTCAGTGGTGTGTAACAGCAGGTGTACAGGAAGATGTTGAAGAGACCCAAGGCTCCCGTGAGTGGATTCACCCCCCAGGTCAGAAGGGCAACTCCGGGAACAGCACAACAAGTGGCGAAGGACACAGCTAGCAACGGGCTGGAAGAGAGCAGAGAAGGTGAGCAATGTTTCGACCCAGCTGGATCACACTGACTGAGAACGCATCATCTATCTACACAGGAAAGCAACCCGGGAGGCAGTGCTGGCCTCCCTTCCTCTTTGGTGCGGGGAATCCTCTTTACGAACCTTAAAATAAGATAGGGCTGTGCTTGTGGGAGCTTCGGCTGCTCCTCTCCATTATGCCCACCGTGAGGGAAGCAGCTGGGTGAGTGGAGAGGGAGCGCCTTGGATCTGCGTATGTGGTCTTTCCCCAGGCCAGAGGGACTTCCCTTGTCTATGAGAGAAATTCTTTTTTCTTTTTTTTTGAGAGAGATTTTTGCTATAGGGTGTGTGCACTCACCAGAGAGACAGAAAGCGAGATTTCTCCTAGGGGGACGGCCATACCACAATCCCTTCTCCTCCATTCTCTTCTTGGGTGCCCAGCACCAATTTTAAGCCACTGGGTCCTGGACTCGAACCATGTTCAACTACATAGGAGTCCAGTGACCTAACCATTATGCCATCTGCTGGTCCCTACAAGAGAGCTTCTTATCTCTTCCTCACAGGGTTGAAGTGAGAACTGAGACTATGCCTACTCTGCAGAGTGTTCAATTTAAAAAAAATTAATTTTTGATTTTTTTGAGAGATTTTTGCAATAAGGTACATGCACTTGCTGGAGAGACAGAGGAACACAAAGTGAGAAATCACCACCCAGGGAACATGGTCACGCCGCAATCCCTTCTCCTCCATTCTCCTCTTGGGATTTTGTGCATGCATGTACATGGCCCTGGCATGAGTTTCAAGCCACTGGGTCTGGGACTCGAACCGTAGTCAGCCATGTGAAAGTCCAGCGATGTAACCATTACGCCATCTGCTGGTCTCAGTTTTTGATGTTTAAAAAAGTTTATTAGTATTCCCTCCATGAGTGAGAGATATAGGAAGATAGAGACAGAGACCTCCAATAGGGTATGGGCGCAGCGATCCACTGCCAGCCTCAGTCAGCTCTGGATCAAGTCCACGTGCGTGTCTGGCACTCCAGGAGGTCTTCGGATGTGAACAGGGCACCCCCCACAGGGAGTCTGCCTTGCAGAGGGTTGCGCTTTGCCCCTGTGCCACTGTCTGGCTCCTGTACTTCATTTTACAGTTGGTGCTGAGGGAGAGTCACCAATAAACCACTTAGAGCTCGATACTATAAGATGTGGGCAACACGTGGTATCTTACTTCTGGAAGTAGCTCTACTCACTCATTATACTTTGCAACACCGCCTAATTAGTGATCATGAATAACAATGGTGTGCCTCAGTGAATGCCATCGTTCCAATATCTGTAATAAATTACAGGCTTGGCAGGGCCCCGGTAAACACCAGGTGGCTGTCGTGTCATGCCAGTGCCATAACGTGGTTCACGGACATGGGTTTTCAACAGGACGTGGCACGTAATGGATGCAAATGAAACCGTCAACTAAACTCTATTACAGTAACGATGATTATAAGCCTGCTTCTCAATACAGCCCACTTTTTAAAATTGCCTTGGTATGGAATCTTGTCAAAGACTTTTTTGAGCCTCAATAAATTGGATCTCCTAGCTCCTGTGTGTATATGTGTGTTTATTTATTCTTTCTTTTTTTCAGGAGAGATTTTTGCTATAGGGCGCGTGCACTTGTCATACAGAGGGAGACAGAGAGACAGAAAGCGAGAAATCACCCCCCGGGGGGGATGGCCATGCCGCAATCCCTTTTCTATTCTCCTCCCAGGATCTTGGGCACGCACGCACATGCGCCCGGCGTGAGTTTTAAGCCACCGGGTCCAGGACGTGAACTGCAGTCGACCATGTGGGAGTCCAGAGACATTGCCATTACGCTAACTGCTGGTTCCCTTTTATTCTTTGTTAAGAACTCTAAGGAGGTTACTTTTGCCTTTTCCTTAGAGAAGCCAGAATTCCACTTCTGAGTAGCATATGTTTGTGCAGTGTTCGGTGACCCCGCTCAGTGACATGCTCCTTGAGAAGCAAGGGCCACTTGTATGCAGCTTCCAGGGTGCTCCGTGCTTAGCAACGGCCAACTTCCCAAGGGAGGCGACACCTATCCCACATCCACACATGTGCGATGACACCCTTCCCGTCTCAGGCTGGCGAGAAGCCCTGTGTCCGTGAGAATGCCTTTGTAGGAACAGGACTAAGTTGTAGGATTCTAAGTTAGAACTCAGCTGGGGTGGGGGTCAGGAGAGCAGGTAAGCCCAGCAACTGAGAACTCCAAGTGATAAAGTAGGAAAGCTGGATGGGACGTGATGGAGAATCCCAGGTGTCACTCTGACGTGGTGGCCAGCACTGACAGCTTCCTCCCAGGCCTGTGGCCAGGAGGATGCAGGTCACTAGAGAGTGACAATAGAAGATAAAAGACAGATCAGAGAGGATCTTGAAAGATAAAACCAACAGAAGGTGGTTTTTTTTTTTTTTTTAATTTTAAAGGCTTTTGCCATTGTCCATGTGTGCTTGCCAGAGAGAGATGGTAAGAAAGAAAGCGAGAAATCATCCCCCTCTCCCAAGGGAGGATGGCCACACTGCAATCCCTTCTCTTCCATTCTCCTCCTGGGAATTTGGGCATGCATGCACATGGACCTGGCATGATTTTCAAGCCTCCAGGTCCAGGACTTGAACCATGGTCGGTCATGCACCTTAACCACTGTGCCACCTGCTGGTCCCCAGAATGGGAGTTTGATGGAAAAGAGAACACAGGGAGGCACTGATGTGGGATCCTCGTGAGAGAAGACCTATAGACTAGCTCAGCGCATGTTCGACCCCGAGGTGAATTTCCACTGTGTTCCTGGGCCGCCTCTTCTAAGCCCACAGTTGGTTACTGCCCCAGCTAGCACTCATTCCAGCACCCTCAATCTTCGCTCTGCCTTGTGCGCTCATCATTCCACCGTGTCTGAATCTGCTCCATGACCTACCCTTGTGCTCCTGCTAGAAAAGCTCTACAATACAACCACAGCGAATGGCTCCATTTCAAGGGGACAACTTCACAGTCCTGCTGCTGGCGGGAGCTGATCTCCAACCTTGGTGCTTCCAGTGACTGTGCTGTCTCCTCTCCTGCCTTTCCAAGCCCCCAGCCCTCTCTATGAATGTCCTTCCCTTATACACAGCAGGGACAGATGCCATAAGCTTTACTTTCTTACCTTCCTCCCATTTTAGGAGAAGCAGCCGTGGTCTTCATTTTAAAGATTAATTTCACTTTGCTTTTATTTCATTTCCTCTCTGATCTGTCTTTTACCTTCTATCGTCACTGTCTACTGACCTCCTGCATCCTCAAATAAATCATTTTATTCACATGTCTCGCAGGTAACCTCTCTGTGTTTAGCACTGTTCAATGCCAAACATCCTAAGGCCACAGATGACAACATGCATTGCTCCTAGCTCCTCCATTCCTCTCTCCACTATCTATTCCCTAACTCTATTCCTTACCACCCACTGAAACAGACTCCTCTAAGGCAGTGACATCCATCGCGTGATCCAGGACCCCCTAGGATCCTCACATACAACACACGATGTAATTTTCCAGATGAAAAATGACGAAGATGCCTCTGTGTGGCTACACCTCATGTATGCTCAGAATGGAGAATTCAGACAGCTAAAAACCAGTGCCAATACTGTCATTGTTGTTCTTCTCTCAACAAGGTAGTTTATCGCTTATAAGAACAGATCCCCCCTCCACCCCAGCCCCCCTGGGACTCTGAAAAGCTAGCTTTATTTTGGGCAGAAGAAAAATGTGGCTCATAAACATTTTTATTTTTTTCTGAATTGGCCCTTGTGTGAAAAAAAAAAAAATAAGAAGGTTGTTCACTCCTTCTTCAAGGTCTGTGGAAGTCAGTTGGATTCAAAGGTATTAGTGTTATGAAAAGCCCTTTTAGAAAAGCACACATGAATTTAATTCATTGAGATAGGCAATTTTATGTGGAAGTTTAGTTTCTGTCCCTTGTTGCAATCATAGAAAATCCTGAAGCTCAATTTTGGTGTTTAAGTCAATGTGTTCAGGGGCATGCATGAAAACTGGGAGGTTGTCGAGACACGTAAACAAAGATGAAGCTTTACACGGGAAGCCATAATCATTCTCAGCACCTAGGGACCTGAAGGAGCTCCCGTCCTCCTGCACACGGAGCCCGGCTGGTGAACGTCAGTGCTGTCCTAAGTTACAAGCCGAGGTGCTCCGACTGCACACTGCGTGAACCCGATGTTTCATTTTGCTGAAACATGTATTATAACGGTAAAAGTATGTTTAAATCAGAAAATCCATGACTTCAGAAAAAATCCCAAAGCAGAAATTCTAAATTAGTTATTTAGAAAAACGTACTGGTTTATAACTGCCTAGCCTTTCTCCAATGACACCTCTATGCAACATACTAAATTGTGGTTTAGTTCCTGCTTTATTTCAACATATCTAGATAACTTCCCCATGCCATTAAGTAATCCTTTCACATCATCATTATCAAAAGCTACACAGGGACCAGCAGTTAGCGTAATGGCTATGTCACTGGAATCCCACGTAGTTGAAGTTGACCGCAGTTTGAGCCTGGGACCCGGTGGCTTAAAACTCATGCCGGGCGCGTGTGCGTGCATGCCCAAGATCCCGAGAGGAGAATGGAGAAGGGATTGCGGCGTGGCCCACCCCCCTGGGGGGTGATTTCTCGCTTTCTGTGTCTCTGTCTGCCTGGTGAGCGCACGCGCCCTATAGCAAAAACCTCTCAAAAAAAACAAAAAAAAACAGTGGCCTGTTCCTGTTCTGTGGGCACAGCACAGTTAATTTATCAACATGCCCTCTTTTGAGACACATTAGTTTTTCAATTATTAAAAAAAATCAGAAACAATGTTGGGATGAGCACCTCACGACCAGATCTTTGTTCACAGTGCTGAGGGTACATGCTGGGGAACAGCTCCTGGATAGGAACGCGCTAAGGCAGGGGACATGCACGTCACTGGGGGATTATCACACGTACTGTCAGTCTCCGT